CTAACAGCGGTAATCGCGGTCTGAGGCCTCGAGGGCGCCGTCGGCAGGCCTTCTAAATTAATTGGTTGGAGTCTCGAAAAATTATCGCCGTCGGCGCCGTTGGGGTCGCCGTCGGCGCCGGTCAAATCTTCATATTTTGGTCCTTTTCGCTCCAAATTCGCTCCTTTTTGCATCTTTTTGCTCCAATGACCATAAATCATCATACCTGCAACAAAAGATCAAAAATACTTTTCTTTAAAGTGCAATATCATCAAAAAGAGTGTAAAATATGTATGAAAATCTCAACATATTTTCCTTTGTTCAGTGGTTCCCTTTGTCCAACCGTGATGATAATTATATCAAAAGCTAGTTCAATTGAGACAATGAAGGTAAGTAGTTACCCATAAATACTATTGACATTTATTCTAATCTCAAATCTTAATCTAAGTTCCAAGGCTTGAAATTTGGCTCCACAGAGCCCTTAAATGCTAATCAAGTCTTTGTAGATAATTATATGTGATGGCAGGGGATGTTGAGAAAAGTCTATCAAAAAGTTTTAATCAAACACAAGTTTTCAATTTGAGAGAAAATGATGAGAAAGAATGATAATTTGATTTTAAAGTCATCTTCAATCATGATCTATTATTACACTGATGTGAATAACCTTTCGGGACAATATATAGAACAAAATATTTAGTTATTTTTAAGATAAATATTTATGAAGTTGAGGTTCAGAAAACTTATTCAAGTCATCTCGATATTAGGCTAGATGGAGTTGTTTGATAGTCTATTGATGGTGATAGTAGTAACCCAATTACGATCATCCCTAGAACTTTACCTTTTACATTCATACCGTCCAAATCTTTCATATCAAATAAAAAATGTCATCATTTTTAACTTTTGAAAAGTGAATTATATCTTTTCATGCATAGATAAGTTGGTATTATGTAAAGATTAAAATTTAAATATTAAGTATGTAAATACAAAAAAAATTGAGACGTACACAGGTAAGTTTCTCTTTTTAATTTCAATACATGAGATAGTCAACAACCATAATTTTACCCCAATGGTTAACATGAATCCAATTTGTTCACATTCATATTTAACCTCTCTAAAAATACAAAATCATCAAACTTCCATGGCTACATGATCTAATTCTTTGCTTCAAGAAAAAATCTTCATCACATCATCACTCAATCTAATTAGAGGTGCAAACGAGCCGAACAAGAGCCAGCCTAGGGTCGGCTCGTGTTTGGCCTGTTAAAAAACATTATTGTTCGCATTCAACTCGTTTATATTTCAAACACAAAAAGTATGTTCTTGTTCGGCTTGTTTACTTAGCAAGTCGAACTCGAGTTATTCGCGAACAAATAGTAATTTTGACAATCCTACTCACGCAGCCGTAGGATGTCAAGGGTTGGGACAAGATTTAAATCTTATTGTTTATATTAAAACTAATATATTTTTATTTTATTTTTTAATTAATAATTTTAATTAATTATAAATCTTTATAGCATTATAGTTATAATTGATGAGTAGTACTTCGAGCCAAAACTAGTCAAACACGAACAACAAATTCATGTTCGGCTCGTTTATATAAGGAGCAAAAAAAAAAGTGTTTGTGTTTGACTCGTTAACTTAACAATCGAATCGAGCATGAGGTTCTTAATCAGCCGAACATGAGTTGTTCACAAACTACAAGCCGTTTGGATAGCCCTACATCTAATAACAACTTAACAAAATCGATCAAGAGAAAATATTAGAGGCAGGAAGAGAGTGTATGTCCCTACCCCCCCCCCTTCTCC